ATTTCTGTATTCTCTCTAGTGGCCTGTATTTGACTTACTGCTCCGTAATGAAAATATTCAGTTATAAGCCAACGTTAGGCCTATGACATATCTACATCCTATTACTGAAAGACATCAGCTGGCTTAATAACAACATGTATGCTATGTTACAGTTAATGTACAGTAGGTCTGCCACGATTAGTCGACTAGTCACGATTACGTCGACTATCAAAATCGTCGACGACTGATTTAATAGTCGACGCGTCGTTTGACGCTTTGTAAGATCACAAAAGACGCAGGAATAAGTAGTAGGATTTAAGAGTGTAATAACAAACTGAAACAGAAGATGGCAGCACTGCATGTACAAGGATGCCAGCTGCCGTTAAACCCCGAAGAAGAAGAAGCTCTGTCCCAGAATTCATAGCGCAGCCCAGCTCAGTTTCCAACAATGGCGGCAGCGAGTTAGTTTTAATATTACTCTTATTATTCTTTCTGGGTCACAAAATAAACGTTTAATATATTTTCAGGCGAGAATGTAGCTGTGTAAACCTCAAATATCTGCTCAGTTTATCAAGACACCACATATTTTCAAAAGCGCTCCGACGTTTTCGGAGACGTCTGTTACCCACTAGCTCGATAGCTAGCCGGGGGCTAGGCTAACTAGAGCCGTGAGAACACCGGACTCCCGGCAGATCGTTTTCAAACCCACCGCTGTCTTTTGCTACTCAACATGATATATAAGTCACTTAGATAACTTAAAAATGTTATTGTTTGGCTTTTTTTAGTATTTTATTTGTTCCTGAGTAAATCGGTTTGGCTGAGATTAAAGTTATAGTTTTTACACAGCTGAATAAACATCAAGCAGACAGCTGATTATCAGAAGTGTGAGATGCTCCAGAATATACTCTGGTGTCCTGTTATATTTTAGATAGCAAGGAGTTTATTAAACTTCACAGAAACAATCTGCAAATTTCATTAAAATTTAATAAACTATCATCTTGTCTTTATTTTTAGTTAGCACATACCTTAAACACTTAAAGCTGTAAGCTAATGATAGTTATATAAGAGCAGATGCTGCTGGTGCAATAAGCTGTACTTTTACGTCCAATGGATGATGATCTGATTAGTCGACTAATCGCAAAAATAATCAGTGACTAGTCGACTATCAAAATAATCGTTTGTGGCAGCCCTAATGTACAGTTAGCAACAAGTTTATTGACTTCAGTGTCTTTTGTTCTTAATCTTTTTTTCATTGTTCGGCTTGTCCAACCACGGACCTAATTGTGAACGTGGACGATTTGCTGTAGTATGAAAGCCGAAAAAGAAAACATTAACATCCTACAAATAGAAGGTTTGTAGTTACTTTTGCTTTTTTACCGTCTTTGTTTTATTTCGTAAAAATTTTGTCACTGCAATAACACAATCAACCACATCTGTTGAAACTTTACGTAGGCCACGAAGCAATATTTCCTCTACCCCCACCTCCACCAACAAGGCCCCTTCGCAGGCGATAAATCACAGATGACAGAGGGCACTACATGCACAAGCGGACCGCCATGCCGCAGCTTTACAACAATTAATTAACTGTCTGACAGTCATTTATCACGGCAACAATAAGGTGAAAAAGTCAAGAGTTTATTAAAGCTCTGCTTATTTTTCAAGAGCTATAGACCATAGGAAACACTTCATATACATGTACAAATACATATGCAACATTCACATTCTTACTTCATACAGAATGACAGTAACACAAAACACAATTAATCAGAAAGAATCCCTTAAAAGCACATCTGTAAACAAATATTTGCCATATAAAGAAAATATGGTAGTCACTTCTCGAACACGCACAAATCAGAGTTCGAACTCGGCAACACAAGCTTAAGGTTACTACAATTAAGTATGTTGGCACAAAGTGAAGACATGTTTGGCCTTTTTAATAAATACTGTACACCGCATCACACTAAATGACTACCTGTTTTTCAAAAGCGACAAGACAACATCACTAATTTTCAGTTTGAAGTTATGATACAGATCTGATATAGCCATGCACTGTAGAACTGATATGCAGTCTTTGAGACTGACTAGGAGACTAGGAGAAATGGGATAAGGACTGGTCAGGGGTCAGTAGGTCATTCTACAATCTTATCCCAAGAGAAAACTTCATGTGGTGCTGTTTCTGGACAAACTCTGGAAAAAGCAAACAGCAGTAAAATGCCTGCAACTGCAGTAACTGTTCTCAAAAGCATGCATATATGGCCCCAAATAGGCAATGGAGTGACATTTGAGGGCAGAATCTGACACTTGTCTGAAGCCCTGGGAGAGCAGCAATAAGATATTGTTTTGACAGCACTTCGGGCCACCAGAGACATGCAAACACAGCTGCGCTTCTTTCTGAGGACGTCAGTTTAACTGTCACTTCAAGATATGAGACAAAGGAAGACTTCTAAATGCGTAAAGACATTAAAGACACTAATGACATTAGGACTAATATTTAAGTGCTATTACTGCTAACTGCTAACTACACTAGCTCCTTCCGACTACAGCTGCTTACCACAGTTGATTACTTTACTCCTTTATGTGATACAACAGAAACTTTGCGTATTAGAAATTTTGCATTTTCTGTACATAATCCTGTTTCTTAATATTTGTTCTCCTCAGTATTCATCAGCACACAACACAACAATCAACTTTAGAAAAGCCTACGTTCAAGAATGTTTCCAGGTAACCATATTTAATAATAGACACCATTGACCAGAACCGATAGGTCACACAGGCAGGTCAAATGTGTGGCACGCCAGAGTAGAAGCAAAGCCAAGCATGTTGAAACGCTGGTTTCAGGAGTACGCCTAGACGCATAGAGAGGGTTACGTTGAGACATAGTCTAAAGTGCTCCACAGCAGCACATTCAGCTTACTACAGGACTTCCTTTAAGAATTTCTTACAAAGTTGAACGCTAAACAAACTTAGCTGCTTTATTAATTGAGAAAGCTTGATCCTACTCGACTGATTATACTTGAACAGAGCAATACGGGTATTCATGTTTCACTGTTACTGTCTAATGTTAATCTAAAACAATTTTCAAAAGGAAATACAGCACACATTAAAGAAGTAATGACAATATTTCATGAAAACCGTTAAAGATAACTCAAATGTATTACAGATGTTAATTTCAGGTGGCTTAATAGTAAACGCTGTTATTTTCTACTTGTTTTTTTTGCTCATGTATTTTAGTCAGTCGTCAAAAGTGTTTAAATCCTAACATCTTGCTGCATGCAGCTGTGTCCAAATAATAAGATAAGTTAATGGTCATATGTGCAAGCAGTTGAGAGTCCAACACTAATAAAAGTATAGTAATAAAATGAAATATAACTGTGTCTGACAACAATTCATCATGTAGGGCTCCGTGTTTTAGATTCACACAGATCTGCTCAATTTCGCTGGTCCAGTTTGGATCAGAGGTGGCTGTGGGGCGGCGTGATGGTCTCGTTCTTCAGCCTGACTTGACTGCCATTCTTCAAATGCTTCAATTTGTCTCTCTCTCTCTAAGCCAACGGTCATCTGTCCCGAGTTCTTATGGGAGGTGAGGTAGCTGCCCCAGCTCTCACAACCTGTGCAATGCAAAGATAGAAAGAGTCAGGGCAGCACACCTCACACCCCGACCAGAACCCCTGAAACTCAAATGCTGCCTCAAGAGCACCAAAAATAACACACAAATACTTTAGTACTCAAGTGCTGCGCTCATTCCAATCTGTTAAAACGACACTGGTGCATGTCAATGTGAATGAAAAACTGTAATATTTGTAACATTCATTCTACATTGGTGTGATACTTTACACTACAGACACTACTTAGCAGATTGTTGCAAAAGAAAAGACATAAAAGATTTAAACTGTTGAATAAAACTCTAGTTAATAACAGGATGCCTGAATCAACCCAGCACAAGTACTGGATGATAGATGATGGTTTTATTTCAACTCACAAGAATCCAAACACGAGAAAGTGTTTGTACTCTTCTTTGTTTCCTGTCACTGATCGGGGTATTTAATAGTCACGTTAGAATTTTCTTTTTTAATTTAAAGGATGGGCATTTGTTGCTTCACTATTTGTCTGATCTTGAAAAGAAGACAGTGAATTCTAGAGCACATAGTAATTCACACTATCCACATTATTTATAGCGAGTAAAGAAAAAGAAGAGCGGTACACACTAGAGACCACTGAGTGTCAAGCTTTTTTTTGAATGACTTAAATCAATGATGGAACTGAAACAATGAGTAAAGTAGAAGAGATGAGAATTTATAATTTAGTCACTGCAATAAAACTGTAGTAAAATTACAGAATTGATGCTGAACCCTTTCTAAAGTTATCCAAAAGCTTGAAAAAAAGCAAATGTTGATTTTGCACCAACAAACAAACAAACACCTGCAGATTAGGACAGATGTTTGACAAAAATGAATGAAAAACACAAGAGACTTCATGCATCATCTTTGAATTTACAATAGAACGGCTAAAGTTATATTTCAACATAACCTTTTAAAAACTGATAAAGTTACAAGTCTATGTGCAACAAGACAATGTTCATGAAGGGAACTGTGTTCAGTGGGAAGTGTGAATAATTGGAAAAAAGAATCTGAGGGTTTCATCACAGGGCAATGTCCTGACAAGGTCCCCATTATTACCAACTTTTTTAAATTATTTTTTTCATAGAATGCCAAATGCCAAGAAGAATTCTGTTTATTAGACACCTGACATCAGGGGTAGAAGAAATTCTGCTGTTCATTATGCCTTAATGAACTGTGCAAATGTATGTGGCAGGTCAATATAGAGCGCCTATGGAGAAGAAATCGTCAACCCCCTCATTCTGCAGAGCATCGGCAGCCCAAGCCTAATGAAGACTGAACTTTAATCATCAGGAGGATATGGTTGCGTCATGGGACACACACACACACGCACACACACGCACGCACACACACAGACAAATAATAACCTCTGAGACTGAGACACACACACTTGCATTACCTCACCTCACAAGGTTTTCATTGTCGCCTGGTCCTTTGCAGGTTGTACACTCAGTCCTCGTGTCATCAGCTTTTGGTTTTTTCTGCATTGCAGACTGGCGTTGTCGCCGTTCCCGTGGCAGAGGTTCCTATGGAAACAAGGCTGATTAGGAATGAGACCTGTATGAGTGCTTGTTGAGTAGTAAAAAATAATGAGTATTAAACTGGGGAAAGTACATTAAAGCATTATTTCCACAATATAACTGATGAATGTGATAACTGGCCCCTATTGAAACTTTACATTAACTACTAAAACAGCTCTATGGATGCTATGCAGATGATTTCCAGTTTTATCTAGCCATAAAGCCAGTTGACACACACCAATTAGTTAAACTGCATAAATGTGATAAAGACCTGGATGACCTCTAATTTCTGGCTTCTAAATTCAGATAAAACTGAGGTCATTGTACTCACCCCTAAAATGGTAAAAACATAGTGTCTAACTGTTGTGGTCGTGGATCTTTGACCCAGTATTTTCAGTTTTGTTGTTGACTTAGTGATTTATTTCTTTTGGATCTGAGATGATTTACTGTTCTAGTTCACTATCTTGTCCTTTGAGGATTACACTGTTCCCTGACATTTCTGAGTTTGTTCTCTGTGCTCTTATGATTGTGTTATTTCTGTTTCGTGCACAGTCTGTTCTAGTTTTGTCTCTGTCTCTTGTCCTCAGTGTTTCCTGTGGTAATCAGTCATCTGTTTATCTCCGGTCCCTGTGTCACGTTCAAACATCTTAGCCTGGGTCTCAGCATGTTTATTGGTCATATCCTGTTTTATTTTCATAGTCCCCTGTCTCATGTGCATGATATTCAGTTTTGCCTTATCACTTAGATTCTGTTCAGCTGTGTTCCCAAGTGTGTCCACTTTGTCCTAATCTCCCTAACGTCCTTCCTCACTGATTACAAATGTGAACCAAGCAGTCACATTAATGGATCAGCATACACAGGAACATAATTCCTTTTATCTGTGCATGTGTTATTAAAAATGACATAAACATTAATATCCTGGAGCCTGTAAAATACAAACTTTTTGCATCTTTACTTGTTTGCATACCTAAACCTAAGAAAGTTCACGAAAAACTTAATGAATTGTTTTTTCAACAGAAGTTCCTATAAAATGCAACTTTATAGTAAAGTCTGTACCACGATTAGGAAACATGACAGATCAGATTAAAGCAACATGCCAGTAGTGATGACGTTTTCATAAAATGAGTCCATCCGTCTATAGGAATATTTGCTCTGAGTTTATTACGTACCTGAGACAACATTCAGAACTTGGAATCATCCATGAGCATCCCAAAACCAAAACAGTTGAATTCATTTTTGCACATAGCACAATGTTATTAAACAGTGATTATCAGCATCAGGGCTGTCTAACTTCTTCATTAAAATCAACTGAAGTGTGTATGTACAAAAGTTTCTACAACTCTGTCATGAGCACAACAAATTCTAAAAATAAACAACAACACATCAAGTCGTGCACTGTACAATCTTGTGTATAAGAATACAGATACACAGATGTACCCCTCAGTCTCCTAGTAGACACACATTTGCCTTGTTCACAAGATTTTCATAACACTTGACCTCTGACTTTGAGGTCAAAGTGACTGAGATTTGTCCAAGACTTCTTTCTTTTGTAGATGCACCTATAGTATCAATTTCAAAATTCTAGTTGACTTCCTTCTTGAGTTATCACAGTCACAAGATTCTCTGACCTCTGACCTCAAACTCATCCAACATTGTCATAGATATACCTGTGATATCTATTTGAAGTTAATGCATTTACAAATTAGGTGTTCACCTGCCCACCTGCCTGCCCGGCAGGATGACAACAACACCTCACCAGTGTTTTAAGCTAAGGGGTAAACAGCTTATTAGCCCAGCTTGACCTTTTCTGTCAGTCTCGCAATCACAAACTTGGCAAAGGAGAGAAAGAAAAAGCTTAAAAACATTTGCATTCTTCCTCTTACATCCTTAAAGTATGTATTGAAATCTGTACTGTGAGGAAAGTCAGTTCCTTTAAACAATATGATTCTTCTTGAAGAAACAATTAACTATTTTTGAATTTCAATAGAGGAACAATACTGACAAATATGAGTAAGAAAAGGCAAAAAAAAAAAACAAACAAACCCTGGAATGACAGAATGCGACAAAGAAGCAAACGTGGGTAAAGGTAGAAGAGCTTAACTGAATGTCTCAGGAACATGTTGTTTAGAACAATATCTTTTTTTTCTGTAGAGAAATAAAGCAACAAACCTCAATTTTATCTTCTCGCTCCTCGCAGACTGGAACTCTCTTCCTCTTCTGCCCTCTGGTTCTCTATTTAAAAAAATAAATTACAAATCCGAACGGTAATGTAAATGGTTGAGATGGTAATGCCATACAAAATACAAAACAATACAATATAATTTTAAGAAAAAATTAAGACATTTTTATTTCTGCGTGGGTCAAAGACTTGTCTGACACCTTATAGCTTGATTTTTCTCTGCTGAAATCCAGACCAGAGAAGAAATTAATTTTAGTAATCCAGGTGTTGGTTGTTTTATAAAAGGCTTTCAAGCAATGTGGCATTCTTGGTTCATTTCATTTGCCTTAGATTGTGTCCTTGAAGGAACAGGAAGGGGCTGCCAAAGGTAGTTTGAAGAAGAGACATTGTATAACATGAAGACAAGGAACTCTATGGTTCTATCTATGGAAGAATCTATAGATAGAATCTATGGAAGAGTACTGAAATGACAAACACGTGTCTTCCTACACCCTTGGTGGTTTGTGGACTGATCTGGCTGGGTCCTGGTTCGGTTCTGAGCTTTGGCCCCTGTGGGGACGTGGTCATGGAGGGTGGGGTAATCCTTCCCTACTGCTTCCAGGTGAGCATTGCTGCCCAGGTACAGGTCTTGTTGGTTCCAGGGAGCGCGGCTGGATGTTCTGCCGTGGTCGTTGACCCACTCTCTCAGGAGTGGTGGTCTTGGGTTTCTTGGACCTCTTCTGCGTGGGAGAGTGGTGGGGGTAGGGGGCTCGGGACTCTGCCAAGTCCTGGGCAATTCTTGGTTGCTAGGGTGAACAGCCTCTAGCGGGGTTGGCTGCCTCTCGCCCTTTGGCAATGGGCACCCCATCTGAGGTCTACCTCCTGCTCGGACAGACGCGCAGTTGTCGACAAAATGTGCAGCCTCAGGTCTTCGGTACTCTTGGGGCCTGCGGGTGGGTTGATCTCCTTGATCTATCTCTATCTGCCTTTGGCTCCTGGGGGCTGTCATTGCCGCTTCCCACCCTTATTATCAAATACACTTCGTGACAAAGTCACATACACAGACACTCAGTTTCGTCAGACCCACACACACACACACACACACACACAAACACACACAAACAACAAGAAGACTGTTGATTTATGTATCTGTGCATTTTCTAATTTTTGTGTACCAGTTGCTGTATGTTTTGTTTTTTGTTGCAGCAGTTGACAGTACGGGGTCTGATCATTATCTAATTATAGTCATAGACAAACAATCTGACATAATAATAGATGAACAGTTGTTTCTATCAGTATCTTCCCTTGTCTTTATTAAACAAACTGGGTATCTATTCACAGTCCAGGCTGTATTATAACAGTGACCATAAACACATAACAGTAAGGAGATGCATCACTATGGATGATATAATGATTAACATCCTTTTGTCTTTCCACTCCAGCTGAGAGAGATAAAATTCCAGTCACATGGAAACTTTATGTCATTATTGTTTCTCCTCTTTTAAATTTTACATTGGGTCAGTGTCAAATGTGCCAAAAAGGAGACATATGCTGTTACTTTTTTCAACAAGTCATGGACTGGAACTTTAAATATATAGCATTTTTGAAATATCTTATTTAATTATATATATTATATTATCACTAAATCATGGCATTTCAAATTATTTTCATTTAATTTAAATGCATTGGTTGGGATTTCAGATATGCTTTTACCTTCGTAAGATATTTGGTCATATCGTAATAATTTTATTAAGTTATGCACTTTGTTATATTTATGTTGTGTTTAATCTTGTTTTTTAATGTCTGCTACAACGAGAAATTGGTATTAATGTTCAAAGTTTGTTAAAGAAAGATGTTTTGGAAAAAGGATTAATCTGGGTTCATTAATCATTTCATTTGGCTCTCTATGTACGTATGACATTAGAAG